GCAGCAGGAGCAGCAGCAGCAGCAGCAGGAGCAGCAGCAGCAGCAGCAGGAGCAGCAGCAGCAGCAGCAGGAGGAGTGTATCCACGTGGAGCATCGTTTGCCTCCAGCAGCAGCAGAAGACCTGTCTTTGCTGCTGCCTTTTGAGCGACAAAGAAGACAAAGAAGGATAGGGAGCGAGGAAGAGATAGAGAGGGTTCGTTGTTTTGTTTATTTATTATGTAAACAGCATCTACCCCCTGATGTGCTGCTGCTGCAGCAGCAGCCGCTGCAGTATCTAGGGATAGATAGTATCAGCAGCAGAAGGTTATTCTCTTCTCTTTGCTGCTGCTTCATGCTGCAGCAGCAGCAGCAGCAGCAGCTGCTGCTAGATGAGATACTAACAGGTCAGGCGTCTGTACACTCCATCACCATGAAGATTGCTGCTCTTCTTGCTGCTGCTAAAGATGCTGCTGCTGCTGCAGCAGCAGCAGCAGCAGCAGCAGCAGCACCAGCTAGCAGCAAAGCCAGCAGCAGATGCAGCAGCAGATGCAGCAGCAGATGCAGCAGCAGGGCCAGCAGCAGGGCCAGCAGCAGATGCAGCAGCAGAATGAGCGTAGCTTCAGAACACTGCAGCAGCAGCAGCAGCAGCAGCAGCAGCAGCAGCAGTGCTCTTGCTGCTACAGTCCAAAACCAATATTGGCTGTAGCAACAGCAGCAGCAGCAACAGCAGCAGCAGCAGCAGCAGCAGATGAAGACACGAGAAACAACTGCTGCTGCTACCAGGGCTCTTGCTGCAGCTGCACTCCCCAGGTTCTGTCTAGAGACAGCCTAACGTATGCAGCAGCAGCAGCAGCAACAGCAGCAGCAGCAGCAGCAGCAGCAGCAGCAGTAACAGCAGCAGCTGCAGCAGCTGCAGCAACAGCAGCAGCAACAGTTTCATCTCAGACCCTCAACTGCAATCTTATATAAAATTATTTTCATAAAAATGCAGTCCATAGCAGCAGCAGCAGCAGCAGCAGCTGCTGCT